AAACACCGGGAGGAAGATTATAGGGAACCCAAAAAAGCGGCCAACAAGAGTAAGAAGTCGCATTCAATTTATATGGTGTGAATCCATCAGCTTGCAAACCCAAGTCTTACGCCCTAGCATCTTCTCGCAAAATCTGGAAATCATCATCAAATTGCTTCCATGCCTTGCCATGGCATGGATGCAACATTTTGTAGAGACCTTATGACATGATCTTCTTTGTGTGAACGCATTAGTTTTGCTGTGCCCTCATGTGCATATAATCTTTGTAACCTATCTGTAATAGGCGGTGTAGCGCAACACTTTACGTGGAACCTTGTTTGATCCATCCTTATAGCGGGAGGTACCACATATGTCACACGTATCCTTATTCTTGTTATCTTTGTAGTATAGCATACAATTTTTTTCACAAACATCAATTTTATGGTATTGCATGCCAAGGCCCTCTAGCAGATTTTTGAACGATAGAAATCTTGGGGATCTTAGAATTAGGGGAAGGAGTTCATGCACAAGGCCCACATAATTATCATAACATGCTACTGACAGATTGTACTGTGATTTAATGGCCAATAGACGAGCAACAATGAGAGAGCCTAGAGTGCAAGGTTTGGTCATGTACTCGCTCATCTGCACTAATGACCATTCTATAGAAAGCTTCAAAGAAAACCAGTTGGTGTTTCCTCATCTAATGGTGGGTGCCCACCAGCTAAGTCAACAAGCATATCATCCATTCGATCCGTCTCACCAAATCCCTCAGGCAGTACCTCTAAACCAATCACATGTTCATGGTTTTCCGCCTCTCTCCATGTGATGTCCAAGTTTGGTAATTTTCTTTGTACCCATTGTGGCACAAATGCAACTCTATCTTAGGCCTTTTATGCCCGAAATAATTCCGACACATGGCACAAGGGCACTTAATTGTATCGAGACTCAACTAATTCGTGGATTGAGTAGGCACGATCCAAAAACTCATTTGTTTTCTCAACCCATTCATTCGTTGGCCTACCACGCTTCCAACCACTATACATCCAGCCACGATCTGCCATATCTTATCTGCAAACTTATGAGAAGTTTAGAACTACTAACCAAATTGCAAATCAAATTACATGCATACAATTGCGAAGCAGGCTTGTGGAATGGCAACAAGAACAACCAATGAGATCAGCAATCGACACACTGTTAAACATCGAATGAAAATATCAGTCATTGCTAAACAAGAAATGTACAAAAAAAAGTCAGTTTTTAAATACTAATACAAAGCAGAATCAACAACATGATTTAACCCATTTTAAGAGATGGCTATAGAGAATGACAATGGAATTAAGGAGCGAAGAACTAACCAACCATTTCAAGCAAACCAGAGATATAATAAATAGAGCAAAATCCGGTCACAAGTCATATCACAACCACAATACAAAGGACGGAATCAATCAGATTAAATGACAATACAATTCTATTACCGTGCCAGTAAGAAAGTAGCAGACATGAACATAGGATAGTATACTGAAACGAAAACTACACTCCAAATGTTTTAACAATGCCAAAAAATTCAGATAAGTTATAGTACTATTGAGATTAAGGTTCATTGAAAGAAACGCTTACCACTAAATGGTAACTCCCAGTGTAGCCAGAAGCGAAAATGGCAACAGCAATAGCCTCGAGTCAACTTACCTGTTACAAATTTACAACTTATGTATGTCCGACAAAACCAAAGAAGAAATACTGTATAGCATGAATCGATAAAAATCTGAGAGGATGAACTAACCAACTAGATCTTCACTGGACAATCACTAGCAGAAATTCCAGGTCGTCAATAGGTGCTTAAGAAAATGTCTCTCAGGCCATGATTCACCTCTCCCACTTCTGTACATGCACAGCACAATTTGCTTCAGGCCTAAAAAGAAAAGGAAGAAATCTCCACAAGCAGTTGGGGTGATAACAGAACTATCGTGAGTACCTGGAATCACAGAGCAAGGGGATGAACTTGGATTGTTGATGCAACTTATACCAGATCTGTGAGATTGAAGGCAGCCACCTTTTCCACCGTACACATACAAGCAAGAACGAATTTGCTTTAGTAAAAAAAGGAAAATTCCATCGAACACATACAAGCAACAACAGAATTGGTGGTACCTCGTGCCTGGCTTCTGGACGCCGTGGGGAACGGCGTCGGGGCTAGGGTATAGGGGCGGGGCGACGAGTCCGGTGGCTGACAGCATGGCGGCGGGTGGTGGCGACGGGGCGTCGGCAGCGGCGCTTAGGGTTTCTAGGCGCCGGGGCTAGGGAATAGGAGAAGCAGCGACTGCTCGGTGGCTGAGGACGGCCGACGGCGGGCGGGCGGCGGTGGCGGCCTGCGGGCGGCGGCGGCGTCTTGGCGCCCGGGTGGGGAGAGGCGGTGCGTCGCTCGCCGATGCGGCGAAGGCTGGATCTGGCCTGAAAGCAGTGGCGGAAAGGAACCCGAGGAAAATAGATTGGGATGGAGCCGGTCACGCTGGGCTGTTGGCGCTGACTGACGCGCCAGCGCATCGAATTTTTTGTCGAGAATCCCGCTCGATCTGCTCCTCTCTCTGCTCTGTGGGCCAACAGCTGCGGTAGCCCGCGAAAATCATCTGTATGGGCTGGCGACGAGCACCCGTGACGGCAGGAGAAACCTTCCCGGACGGTATACAGGTCACGTGGGGGATGGTTTTGTGCCTCTGACGGGAGACGTGCAGCCGAGGGGAGTGGGCTGGGCCGACGGGAGAAAATGTGTCTCCGGTAGTGTTAGGTACAGAGGTAGTGGAGAGAAGCAACGGTAAGGTAAAATAAACACCTTGTGATGAAAGCGAAGACTACATATAAAGCCAGAAACAAGGGAGATGTAATACTTGAGTGCCTTAATTTTTGGACAACAATTTTAAACAACCGACCATTACAATTAAAAGGATAACTCATAGGATATTATTTATACTTTTTCTAGCCAAGCAAGGAAAAAAATTATTTGTTGCTCGAAGCCTTGAACAACAACAAAAATCAGACACTAACAAATGAAGCACTGAAACACAAACAATTAGTATATTTTTAATCAAAACAATAATATACAACAATAAAAAGTCAGACACCTAGAATATATATACAGGAGAAGCTAGGAAAAATAATGTTTTGCGAAGGGAAGAAGTTTGACGTGACCGGTTCTCCCGCCCACCATCCAGCCGTGTGCGTGCCAAACCGCCGATCATAATACCATAATACTAAGAATGCAAGTTGGCCAAGTTCAGAGCGGTGGACGAATAAAATGTTTGGATGGGAGAAGGCGATCGATTGTGTCAAACTTGACCGTGCAAATGGTTGACGATTGCGATTATGAATTCTAGAAGCAGGGAGATCCACTTGTGTCAGTATAATGATCCGTCCATGCATACCACAAGGAAAAGATACACTCCTCCTCCTATATACGAACAGATCGACAGTTGGCAGCGGGTGATGAAGGAAAGTATTGCGTCGTGCACAGTTTGGTTGCTGATTGTTTCTGCTTCTTGTTTGCTGGTCACCGTGCGTGTAATCACAGGATTGACGAGGTAGTCGTCAATCACATCCAGATCAAGATTATTGGCTATATAGTATAATATCATCGTCAACAAGCAAGGAAGAAGAAGATGATGAAATAAGCCTCACACGATGGTCCAACGTCGTCGTAATGTAGCAAGCGTGACATGTCAAACGCCAGCGCGTGGCACCCTGGTCAGCAACCACCAACCATGCATGTTCGCCCCAACACAAACAGTGAACACAGAGGCCGGACGAAACCTTCAGAGAGCGCACACGGATTTGAACCCGCGCGTGTGTGGTTTTGGCACGCACGCGTACGTGCAGACGAGACGAGAAGACCGAGCGATGGAGATGAACACTAATCCACACGCGCTGATGATCAACTAGCTAGCGAGCCGTTCATTGATGACGGTGGCCGGACCAATTAAGCACGTACTGCTGCGCGTCAACGTAACAACAAAACACGCACATGCCTAATCCAGTTGCGATCGCATCGCGGCAGGTCGTCCGCTGACGAGCGGCAGGTCGATCGGAGCCTCAGATCAAGCATGGCTGCTGCTGCCACAGCGTGCATCTGCCGCCACAACCACAGCCGGGGCCGGACGACGACGACGGCGGCTGCTGCTGCCTCTGTAGCAGACGGCGACGCCCGAGCCGCCCGCCATGGCTGCGTGCGTGCACCTGCAAGCTTTTGCCTTTTTCTTATTGTTATTACGGGCCCGGGGAGACCACCGGCCACTGCTCGCGGACGGTTGGTTCTTGGTTGGCTGCTTCACTCCCTGTACCAGTGTACCACTAGCTAGAAACTAGAACGGCAGGCAGGCTTGGTCATCGACCTCAGCCAGTCAGCCTCATCCCCAGTTACCTGGCTGACACGTCGCCGTGTCCCACGCGCCAGCGACGTACGACGGGCCGTGTGATCGAGATGGTGGGCGGGAGCCGTCGCCGCCGTCGCTGTCATCAGAGAAAAGCTTTCATCCAGTTCGTCGTCCTGTGTGATTATTATAAACAAAACGGAAAATAAAATAATAAAAAAAACCGTCGTCGCGGACTTTTCCGGGCATGCTTGCTTTCCCGCAACGCAAAGGCCACCGCGAGAGCGAGCTACTAGAGTCTAGATGCCTGCCCGATGCACGCTGCACTGCGCCGTGGCTTCTCTTCTCGTCACCTCTGCCGCGTCCCCATGGGAGGCGACCGGTCGGTCGAGGCATGCACGGTGCACGCACAGCGCCGGCAGAAACACCTCGCTTTCTCGCCCCCTCCACAGACAAGGCAGCTACCCATTTATAAACCAACGAACAAGCCAGTAGCTAGCCAAGCCTGCTTGCTGCCTGCCTGCCTCCTCCAACGCCGGACGGAGACCATCAGAGACACACGCGCGCAACCACCCCCACAAGCTTTCCTATCCACGTCCTCCTCGCTCCAACTGACTCCCCACTCCCGGCCGGCCACCCGCCCGCCATCGTTCTCATCTCATGGGTGTTGGCGCGATGGAGGCCTCTTCCCCGGCTGCCTTCGACGGCGACGGCACGAGCACGACCATCGAGGACCTCCCGGCGGACGTCCTGGCCCTCGTGCTCCGCCGCCTCGACGGCGCGTCGCTGGCGGCCGTCGGGTGCGCGAGCTCGGGCCTCCACGGCCTCGCCACCGACCCGGACACGTGGCGGGCGCTCTGCCTCGCCATGTGGCCCTCCGTCCGCGACCTCCTCCCCTGCCTAGGCCTCGGCGGCGCAGACGTCGACCACCGGGCGCTCTTCGCCGACGCCTTCCCCTTCCCGTGCTCGGACTCCCCATCCCCTCCCCCGCCCTCGCCCTCGCAGCCGCAGCCGCAGCCCCTGCTGCCCGCGCGCCTCGTGTCGGCCGTCGACCTGCGCCACGCGGGGGTCAGCATCCTCTCCCGCGTCGTGGAGACGGACGCCGACTCGGACTGGTTCCTGGGCGCGCCGTTCCGCGTCGACGCGCTGGTGCAGGAAGGCTTCACGCCGCCGACGGCCGCCTCGGCGTCGGGGATCTCCCACGCCGACCTCGAGCTCAACTGGGTGCTGCTCGACCCGGCCACGGGCCGCGCGCTCAACGCGTCCAGCCGCCGCGCCGTGGCCGTCGACCGCAAGTGGCTCACGGGGGACACCGTGGCGCGCTTCGCCGTCGTGCTATCCGGCGGCGAAGGCGGCGTCGCGCTCGACGCCGCCGTCACGTGCGACGAGCGGTACGGCCACGTCCGCGAGGTCAGCCTGCGCGTCGAGGACGCCGACGGCGCCGGCGTCAGCGGCAGGGACGGGCTCGCCGCCGTCGCCGCCGCCATGGCCGCGCCCAGGCGGCGCGGGTGCCGCGGCGGCGCCGCGGCGGAGGACGCGGCGAGGGAAAGGTACGAGGACTTCGTCAGGGGGAAGAGGGCGCGCAAGGAGTGGAAGGCCAGGCGCGAGGGCATCCTTGACCTCTGCTGCTCCGGCGTCGGCGCCGCCGCGTTCCTCGGCTTCCTGGTTATGCTCACGTTCCGGTGACCTCGTCCAGCACGCCGGGCAACGCCGAAGCCTCAATCAGAGAGTGCCGTTGACATGTACAGTGTAGTTCAGGGAATGTGAATATGCTTGTGCTGTAGGTTATACGGTCGGCTGTCAAAGAAATGTACAACAGGGAAAGTCATCATATATCCTTTTTCTTTTGCTATTCATTTTCTTCTTCAGAAAGCGAGGTTTATGAAATAAAAAATACAGACTTCTAAAATCTTATTAGTGTCGTAATTTGTCCACGCCAAGTACAGGCATCTATCTCAATATAAATGATTGTTTAAGCCTTTCATCATACAAGTTGCTCGGAGCCACCATGATTTCAGTTTCAGTGGACATCATGCTACAAAGCTCTCATCGCTGAGGTGAAAAAGTTTAAGCAAAACAGAACATATGTGCCAGTGCGGCAGTGCCACACGAATTGACACCTATAATGAAATTTCAAGGTACATCACACAAAAATAGATCAAATTTCAATGTTCTTGAACAAACCCAGTTTTACTTCCACTTTTCAGTTACATAAATATGCTTATGACACTGCCAACACAGTTATTTGGAACCAGGGGACCCCACAAATACTACCAACCATTCCTATAGTACTCTACATCAATACAATAACACAAAACTATACAAGAGTTCGGGAAGGGAAGCATGCAAAAAGTCAAAAGGAAAAAAAATACAAGCATTCTTGTCAACCAGCCAGAAACTCCAGAAAGACTAAGCAGTCTATACAAGTGATTTCTGCAATTCCCGATACAACAAGTCGATGAACTCGTCGCTCTGTTGGGCATTTGGTGAGAGTTAGAGAAGATAATAATACTAATCCAAACAACTGTACCCTGTATGTTTTCAGTGTGGAACTTACCTGAACAAGTCTGTGTAGCGCGTCCTTGACTCTATCCCTTGTAACAACAGGTCTATCGCTGTGTGGAGGGTTAAGGGAAGGAGGTGGAGTGGGCGGTGGAAAAGGTTGGAGCAGTGGGGTGCCGTATTGAGAACGCTGAACAGATGCTGGAGTCGGATGAAGAGGCGGGGCAGTAGGAATCACAGATGCACCTGGCGGAGCCAGTGGAGCTGTAGAGGATGGTGGAGGCACAAAGAAATCCGGTGTCACAAGATTTGTTGACCAGCTAGTGTGGGCGTTAGTGTCATGGATGGGCAATGGTGGAGCTGATGAAGCTACTGAAGGGGGTAGTTGATGTGTTGGAGCAGCAGATGGAATGATCAATGGCACATGGGAAGATGGAACGCTCTCAGTAGACGGGTGCACTCTTCCAGACAGTGGTGCGTTTGATACACTTCCAATGCTAGCAGCGCCCTGCAGAAATGTTGGAAAAATAATCTCAGCAATGTTAGACACAGCAGATATTTTGTAATGCAGCATATATCCAACCATGAATGCAGCATACTTGTGTACATACATCAACCGAGATGCTACAATGGTCATTGAGTACACAATGCAGATAAATGAGGATATACCATTCAATCAACATGAAAAAAAAAAGAATGAAATAGCTGATAGTTGACAGTTTAACATACACTGAAGTAATTGATCAATGATTCTTCAGGAGTATCAAGGACTACAGCAGCAGATGCTGGCGGAGGTTCAAGAGGGCCATCTATAGCAGCAGATGCTGGCGGAGGTTCTAGTTCCTCAAACTCACTGTGGCCATGAAAGAAACTTCAGCACAATTGATAATACATAATTCAAAGGAAAGAATGAAAGTGGTTGAATCCAAGAGACTGGAAACAAGTAATGGACCTTTTTGTGGAAGGCGCTTTTGGTTTTGGAGGTACTTTGGCGTAAGCATTCAGTATCCTGAAAATAAAATTGAGCAGCAAACCGTAAACTATCTGCCCACATGATTCTAACAAAGAAGTTCATCACTGGATCCTGAGATACAATTGTTCTTTTTTAAAAGGAACAGATGTGACAAAGATTATGCCAAAACGATCATAATGCCCTGTAGCATGATACTGGCCCATTTGTAGAAGTATCAGGGAAACATGCCATCACCATGGCATCCTGAGGTACAATTTTTTAGAAAAGGCATCCTGAGATGCAATTGTTTTTTGGAAAGGGACAGATGTGAAAATGGTTATGCTAAAATAATCACAATCCCATGTTGTATACATTCTAAATAGATCGCAATACTAGCTATTTGTAGAAGCATCAGGGAAACATGACATGACAATCTCCAACAGTATCAGAAGTTTGTAAGCACACTGCACATCCTTGCTCTATACCTAATTTGGGAATTTTACTTGCTAGCATGCAAAGCTGTGATTAAGAGGGAGGAAACTGACTCTTTTCTGGGCACCAATATGTAGCAGAGTAGTCGCTACTTCTTATTGCAATCTAGAAATAAAGTTATCTGAATATTTCTGTCAAATATTTGAAATCTCACCAGCATTTAGTAGTTGACAAATGCAGTAAATCTAGAAAACAGGCGGCTCTCACACTTCAGGCTAACAGGGCAAGTTACTTCATGCCCTAAAAGAGAGAACTAAGATTAGTAGGCCAGTATTTAGCTAGAATTAGATTTTGTCATCACAGGTCCTGCCACATTTCTCATTTAGAGAATGTGATCCCAGCTAACAATGCTCACATTTAGTAAGACTACGCATTTCTCATTCATCCACAACTAACTGGATCTTGAAAAATACATAACCATAGATATTTCAGATCAGAACTACTAAAATATGGTACAGTAATGTTCATAATCTACTCCCTGCATTCCAAATTGTAAGTTGTTCTGGCTTTTCTAGATACATAGCTTTTGCTATGTACATAGATATACACTACGTCTAGTCTAGATACATAGCAAAAGGTATGTATCAAAAAAAGCCAGATCAACTTACAATTTGAAACGGGGAGAGTACATAAATTCAGAGAAAGATACCTCCAACATGGGGAGAGAATACATGAACAGCCTTTACCTTCCAAATAGACTTGCAACAGCTTCACAGTCATGTTGATTGTAAAACCAAATTCCATTTACTTCTTGTGAAGCGTTCCGGTACAACAAATATGGAGGTTGAAGTTCATATTCAAAATCACTTAAGAGATCCTCCACCAGATTATCTGTTGAGAGCAACATCATCGGACTTCTCATGAAGGATTCACCACATGAATCATCTGACTTTGTGCATATATTATAAACTTAAAGGTACTAAAGTTCTATCAAGTTATTTAAATTATTTAACATGCCTTGGAAACTAGAATTGTGTCCTCAGTCTAACTCCTAATGTAGCCCAACTGCCCATACAGGTCCACCCATCATATTCCCCAAGTAGGTTCATAAGAAAAGCTGGAGTTTTGCAAAGAGTTAACCTAATTTCTTTACACAGCTATCTTTAAAAATAAATGACCTCTTTTTATATAGAATTATACCAAATGGACCTCATATGAACCTACTGATCCAATGTGGTCTTTGGCAATTCTGAAATTCAAGTTCTCTGTATTTAGTTACCGCCTTTCCAGCTTCGATCCAAAGACATGACACTACAAAAAACTATTGCTTGGCTGGTCACTCGGTGCATCAAAGATTGAGAAAGAATAGGGCAAGTCTCATGAAGAGCTATACGCTCTTCGAAAGCCAAAAGCTCAAATGCCATTAGGTCATCAACATGATGCAACTAGCAGTGGTGGAGCCTAGTGCAGGCCATAGTGGGGTCCCCGCCCCCCGCATGTGCGGCTAACAAAGGTTAATGTACATATTTGCAAGTCTAGCTAAACAGTCCATCCTAAAGAGCTAGATATTCTAAGCTTGCTTAGTTGCTTCCCTGCGAATTGCGCATGTGATGGCCCATCTATCATTCTATCTCCAGCAATTAGTACTAGCTGCCCACAAAACTATAATTAATCCGGTAATAGAGGTAGTTTCATCATATTATCTATGGACATCCCCCAAGTCGCGATTACAAGCCCGGTTCCCCCACTGGCAACTAGAGCAGACAGGACATGATCATGGGGATTCAAATGAATGACTGAACAAATGATAATGGATACTTCTGCAAAACTTTATCAACTTCCCAAAGTAAGCAACAGGCAGTAGTATATGGGTAACCAGGCTACAGTGATTCACTCTAAATCGAGATAGATCACCTTGACAGTAACGCAGGGCACACATGTGTAGCTAAATTTCGCAGCGACCTAGGCATTGCAGTGCACTGGTTAACCTTTAGATATCACAAGGTGATCTCCATTTAACAAGATCCGAAATGAATGGTTTATATACCATGATTGATGCTGTTGGTTGGTACAGCTTCTAGTCACCCGTGGGTTCATCATAAAACCAAACCAACTACCCAAGACGCGAACCAGAAAGTCCAACCAAAGATAGTGCGTACCAGTGTTGCGCCTGTTCATGACGATGAACTGGAACCTGGGCTGCGAGTTCCTGGAACAATCGAGCACAATCAGGACAGAACCAGACCGCATACGAGAGCAAGCAAAAACCCCCAACCCAAACGCTCACCTCTTGACGACGAACAGCGACCCCTCGACGTCCTTCCGGCTCTGCGCGGCACAAACCAACAAGCAGAGAATTTCAGAATCCGCCGTGAGACCATGCCGGATCGGATCGAGGGTACAGGAAATGGAGCGCGGGGGGCAGGGGGAATCGGTGGCTCACCCACTGGTTGAGGTCGATGTTGAAGTCGTAGAGCGTGACGTGCGCGGCGGTGATGAGGATGTCCTCGACGGCGGGGTCCAGGCGCTGGAGCACCGTGAGGTTGAGCACCCGCGTGGCCTCCGCGTCCATGGCCAGGTTCGGGGTCACCTTGCCCCCGTTCGGCTGCGGCGGCGGCGGCATCGGCGGCGCTGGATCTGAGAGCCGAGCAGCAGAGGCCAAGCAGGCAGCAGCAACCGTGGAGTGGGGTGGGGAGGATGTCTCCGGAACAATCACAACTCACATCACGTCGGATCGGACGCGGTGGAGGTGGAGGACAGGGATGGCCAGGTGGGCCCGCCCGCGGTAAAGGTGATTGGGCGTAGATATGTACGGCCTGTTTAGGCCCACGTGCACCTAAGTTGGGCCCTCGTCATAGTCGAAGGTCCTCGCGGCTGTAGGCCTTAACCCACGCGACCAGTAGTGGGCTGTCAGCCCATAGGGGAAGCCTTCCTCCGCAATCTAAACATACACTTCATAAATGTCAGGTATTATAGTAAAAAAAAATGTCAGGTATTATAAGATTCATCCTCGAATATATGTTCATATTTTATTCATATTTTGATCTTATAAATATTGACAATTTTTTCTTAAATTTATTCAAATTTAAAATAGTTTGGCCAAGTATATAATCAGATACATTCTTTTCATAGAAAGTACTCCCTCCATCTCAAAAAAATGGCATTGGGTTGTGTGCTGATCAAACTTTTTTAAGTTTAACTAGATTTATAGAAAATATTAATAATATTTATGTTTCTAAATAAGTTTTTTTTTTATAAAAACATATTAAAATATTCACATAACAATACTAATTATACACCATAAATATTAATATTATATATATATATTTGGTTAATGTTAAAAAGTTTAACTTCTTGAAAAGTGAGCTCTTTGTGTACGGATGAAGTAGTTACTGAAAAAAATGGAAGATTGTTAATAATTAGTACTACCTTAGCACACCTACAAAATGTATGTGTTCGCATTATTTTTAGAACAGACTGAGGAAAGGAAATGAGTAACACCCGCATATTCAGGTAACCGTTGCTATAAGTTGGCATTAATTAAATGTTGAGGCAAGATAAGCTTATATTTGTGAACACACTTTAATTTTGTGCACAGAGGGAGCAGCACCTAACTAAAAATGTTAAGGGCTCGTTTGGAAGCCCATGTAACCACCTCAATGCATATATGTCCGGTGAATTGGTGTCAGATTTTACACAACAATTCATCCTGGCATACTTAGATTGAGATGGGTACATTAGCATCCCAACAATGACTAAATGTGTTCTCGTCAAAAATGGTGCTAGCAACAAGTGCATCCTCGAAAGGACCGAACTAGTAGTTTTTTTTTATTGAAAAATGAAGGCACCAAACGCATTAGCTATTTAGCTTACCTCGCTCTGCCCCTAACTGAAAAGGCAACGTGTGTTCTCTCGTTTTGTGAAAATCTTCTAGCTAATAATATTAAAGAACCGTTTGGATGGACTAAAACGCCATTAGCCCATCCGAAAAAAAAAGTAGTAAGAGCTAATGGTACGGCTAATTTGTTGTCAGTACACATTTTAACCATTAGTACATTATAATCTTTTTTTATCAGGCATTATAATCTAATTTGGCAGCTAGTCATTTGCCAATCTAAACGTGCATGTCCTCAAGCCCCTGTAGAACGTTGTATTTTTTTCCCGAATTGTATGCTTCTTATGTGAATTTTTGTACAATTAGCTTGACATTATTTGTAGTGCCTTCATCCAAAAAATGCTGCAATTTTAGATTTGAACCCAGTCAAATATTGGTAAGTTTTAATTAAAATTATAAGAAATAGTATGAACAATTATGCCAAATACGTTTATTACAAAAATATTCTGTGATTAATCGAACAATACATATTTGGTATCATAAATATTAATAACTTTTAATATAGATGTGAAACTTAAAATTATTTGAAAGAAAAAAAATACAGTATACCAGAGTTCAGAGCTAAAGGTCCTGTTCGTTTCGATAAAATTTGGTTTATGCTGATTTGTTGTGAGAGAAAACACTATTTATTTGTTGAAAAATATGGTTGAAGTAGTGCTGAAGAACGAGGCCAAAACTCTAGGAGGAGTATGCTTTCGAGGGCTTGCAGAGTAATAAGCATGTTTGAAAGGGTTACCGAGAGGTATCCAAAAATTTTATTTCGCGGACTAAATGCACCCTGAAGTCTGAACAACATTGCCTTGCGTGGGAGGGAGATGACATGCGACGACAAGGCATGAATGACATGAAAGCCGGCAGGCCAGCCGCGAGACAAGGGGCCGGGGCCATCACACAACACGGAACAAGCCTCGCTCGACACTCCAATGAAAACCCGGATACGCATGGCGGCGCGCACACCTTGGTCAACGAGGTTTCAGAAACAAGGCGCGCACGCGAGATGGAGCCAACGCGCGCGCGGCAAACCAGGTTCGCGCGCGAAAGAGGCTCCACGCCTCCACCCATAGCGATAGCGGTTGGCCCCTGCGCCCGGATCGGTGGCGGCGCCCAACACCGCTGCATGGCCCACGTGGCACGGTAGGGTTTTTTTCGTCCGCTTATCTTATAATCCGTCTTTTTCAGCTTATTTTTTTAGTCGAAACAGTATTTTCTCTCACAACAAATCAGCCGAAATAGTATTTATGCTTGTTTTTTTCAACCGAAGCGAACAAGACTTTTTTTTTTTTTTGCAAGATGGAGCCGGCCGGCGGCGGCTCTGCCCGACGTACAAAAACCGGATATGACTAAAACCGTGGTTTTTTTATTTTCAATTTTTATTTTTGAGCAAAAAAACCCCGTGGTTCTTTAGAATCAGGTCTCTTGTCATCATCTTTTGGCCCGGCCCATCTAGTCATCTATAGGTGGCGCACAGGCGCCCGCACCTGTTGGATCGGAGCCCGTGGCATCCATAGAATCGGAGCGAGCGCGAGGCGCAGCCGCCGCCGGGCGAGATCGGTCCGCCCGCACTATGGCAGGTACTGGTAGCTCCGCACCTGCCGTTGTCGCCCCGCGGCCGGCACGACACACCGTGTGACCAACGCATGGCGCACGGCGCGGCGACGTGGGCGCTCGCTCGCCACTGCCGACCTAGGGGGTCACCAGTTTACCACGACCACGACCACGACAACCTGCGAGTCCCGAGGCGGGTGCGTCAAAAGCCGTGCCCGAGACCAGACAGATCGACAGCCTGTTCGCTTGCTCGTAAACGATCGTAAATTTCCAGTCAGAAACAGTGTTTTTCTCTCACACCAAACCAGCCAGCAGTAAATAATCCACGATACGATACGGCCTTCCGAACAGGCTGCGAGCTAGCAGCAGCGCGATCACTGTCCCATTGGTCACCTACACTACACTGTAGACATTTGTCCCAAAATATACGTGGTTTTCGTTTTTCCGAGAAATAACTTTAATAAAATATATATTAAAAAATATTAATATTTATGATACAGAGTTGTTATCGTTGAAAAGATATTTGAATCTAGTTTTTTAATAAATTTATTTAAAGATATAAATATTAAATGTATTTTTTACGAATCAAGTCAAATTTGTCGTACGGAAACTAAAAGCGATGGATAATTTAGGACAGAGGCAGTAATCCAATATTGGGCCATGTTTAGTTCACCCAAATCGGTGCCGCCGAAAATATTTTATTTGGTAATAATTATCTAATCGTTGACTAATTAGGCTCAAAACGTTCGTCTCGCAAAGTACAACCAAACTGTGCAATTAGTTTTTGATTTCGTCAACATTTAGTACTTCATGCATGTACCGCAAATTTGATGTGACGGAGAATTTTTTTTTCATAGTATTAAGGCCTTGTTTAGATTCAAAGTTTTTTCACTCTCTCTCCATCACATCAAATCTTTGACACATGCATGGAGTATTAAATGTAGATAAAAAAATAACTAATTATACAGTTTGATTGAAAATTACGAGACGAATCTTTTGAGCCTAGTTAGACCATGATTGGACAATAATTGTCAAATACAAACGAAAGTGCTACAGTGCCGAATACTGATTCGTAACGCGAACTAAGGGGCTGTTTGGTTTCTTAGACCGGATTTTAGTCCTTGTCCAATCGAATGTTTGGACACATGCATGGAGTATTAAATATAGATTAAAAAATAACTAATTACACAGATTACGACTAATTTGAGAGACAAATTTTTTAAGACTAATTAGTCGATGATTTGATAATGTGGTGCTACAGTAAATATGTGCTAATGATGAATTAATTAGGCTTAATAGATTTATCTTGTAAATTAGTCTACTCCTGTGTAATTAGTTTTTTAATTAGCTCATATTTAATCCTCTTAATTATCATCCGAACGTTCAATGTGACACGGAACACCCCCTAAACAAGGTCTAAAGTTGGAAATTTGAGATAACTAGTAAACACACCCTAGGACGACGGCAGAGCCGCGCCAACCTGCGCTCCGCCGCCGTCCCATCACCTATCTGCACAGGTGCAATTCCCAACATGGCCGCTCGTCGCCGTCCGTGCCAACAGTGCGAGCGCTGGTGCATTGCATCCGTCCGTGGCATATACAGTACTGTACTGCTAGCTGCAAGCCTGCACTTCACTGCTGCACGGCTTGCAAGTTGCAGGCAATGACGGCGGAGGGATGGAAGAGAGATGCTGATCCACTGACCACTGTCTGTGCATGCCTGATCCACTGCCTGCCTGTGCGTGCGGTAATGTGCGTGCATAGCAACGGCACGGGCACCAGGACCGCCACTGTATCCGTCCGAGCGACCACGACGTAGGTCCATATACATACTGTTTGCTCATAATGTTTAGCCGACAAAGCAGTCCATAAGATGGGTTCCACCAAAGATTAAAAATTATTCTATCCAATCGTCTCGTGTACCTTCAAAAGAGAGATATATAGAGAAAATGACGTTTTTTTTATTGCTTATAGGTAGTTAATATGGCTTTGGGTACCTTTTGTTATAAACTACTATATGGACTGCCTCTATAATGTTTTAGCTAGTTGATAGAGAGTATTTTATTCTCTATGAACTACTTTACTATCGCATTGTGGTTGCTTCCCTCGCTAACTGTGGCCTGACCGTCTCGCTCTCAAGGGACAGGGGATCGAGATGCAGAGGATGAGAGGACTCATTCCCTCCCAAAGTATAATTTTTCACTTTTAAAAAGTTAAATACTTCCAATTTTAATAAAATATACATAAAAAATAGTGCTAAGTTTTTAATAATCTTAGTTAATTTGTTAAGAAAATTTAACTCAGCATGAATCCTAAAGACACTCCCAACGCAATAGTAGTTTCAATAGCTATTATTTGTATTGTCACGTGCAATTTGCTTGAGGTGGTAGGTCATTCATTGAGGAGAGAGAAAAAATGATTAAATACTGTTTTCCTCCGTAGAAATGATGTCTACGCAAGATTCGAGACCGAAGAAACGAGTCTCGATAGCGTTGGGGAGGGCATCGTGGTTTCTTTTCGACGTCTCTAGACCCCGTGCGCCAAATCTTCCCCAGCGCGCTCCTCTCCCCGTCTTGGACGCTGGCGACGGGTGAGGGCACGACGCGGCATTAAACCCCCTAAGCGGCATCTGGCGGGATGCTAACCCCGCACTGGACTGCATTGCCGACGACCCCATCATCCGCGAGAGCAACCATCCGAGACTAGGGATCTTGTGCACGTGGCCGCCGGTGCAGACCACGCTTGTGCGGCGGCCGTTGCTTGGAGCTCGCGTGGCTGCTGCCGCCTGGAGTTCATCTGTTGCGTGGCCGCCATCGTGGATGGAGCTTTGCCGCTGGGACCTTGCGCGCCCGATGCTATCTTGACAGCCGCGGTTCGGCGCGCCAAATTAAAGTTAAGCTGAATCCCGGTAAAAATACTATAGATTCTAACTAATAAGTTGGCTGATAAATTCAAACAAACAGGCCAAGAATGATTGATTTGAGATCTCGATGAAAGATACAGCGTTGGAGTGGATAGTTTTCAGCGATAGTGTTTTGTGACGTATAAACTACTGGGAAGTTTCTGTATTGTAAATGACCTAATACAATATTTTTTATGGAATGGAAGGAGTGCGCGGTGCAGCTTCGCTACTAGGATACTGTTGAACACTGTTATACGTTGTAGCGCAACAAAAGATCAGCTCCGGCTCCTTCCCAAATACAATGAGGAGTCGAGGAAGCTACAAGTTTAGGGCTCCGGTGGCTCCTCTACAGTAGACTGTAGTGCTGCTGCAGTAAAAGAGCCGGAGTCCCGGAGAGCTACGCCATACACGTCTTAAGGCTTTGTTCAAACAAAAACCGTTCTGGTCGGACGGTTCCGCACCTCTATTTTAATTAAAAAAATAAATTGAAAGGCCCTAAACGGCATCTGGCAAATATGTCTAACCCCGCACTGGACTGCATTGCCGACGACCCCATCATCCGCGAGAGCAACCATCCGAGACTCCCTATTGTAAATGACCTAATACAATTTCTTTTTATGGAATGGAAGGAGCGCGCATTTGGTGCAGCTCCTGGGGCTCCGTCTCCTTCTCTTTTGCACTGTAGGATACTGTTGAACACTGTTGTATATTGTAGCGCAACAAAAGATCAGCTCCGGCTCCGTCCCGTCAGCCGTCAGCACGGGGTCAAGCTGCCTGCCTCGCCCGCGTCCTATCCGTGCTAGCTCATCCTCCCTCCCACCCGCACGCTGTCACTGTGTGTGGGTCGCATGGGTGCCTAGCCGCGGGAGGCATGGCACGCATAACCTTTCCCGAGGTGGCTTTGAACACTGCCTTGGCACCTTGCCCTGTGGCGAGTGCTCCCTCCGTTAAAAAAATGCGTTATAAGTTTATACCACTAAAATTTACTGTGTTTATTTTCTCAAAAAAATCACTTACCATAGAAATATATTGCATGAAAAAATATAATACTTAATACTACCTTTATTTTAAATTATAAGATATTTTAGTTTTTTATATACTTAATGGTTACTATACGCGCTTAGATGTACACTATGTCTAAATATATGTAGTAAAAACAAATACCAAAACATTTTGTAATTTTAAACAAAGAGAATATTATAAATACCAATATCCATACATTTCGATGAAATCTGAAATCTATAACGGTTTGGCTTTGAGTAAACTTATGAAGTCCTAATTTTTCACACGGAGTAGGACGGATGGCGTAAGTTAAACAATAGACAAGATAGTATAAGTATAAGTATATATATATATATATATAAAGATAAACCATGGTGCATCCCATCATCCCATGTATTAGATAAATAAAACATGAAACCCAAAGAAACTACACTGGAAAAACTTAGTCTCCTCCTGCTTCGTTTTAATACGCTCTTCGTCTTGAAAAAACCACAATTCTCGTTTTTTTCCTGATAAATCAAATAAATTTAAATGTTGCTAAATATAAATATAAATTATTTGACTATAGAAATAAATATAAATTATTACTTACTCCAACCGTCTCAAAATAAATAATTTCACGAGGTTTAAAATTCGTGTAGAGAAGTAAAATATTGACTTGGTACTCCCTCCATTCAAGAAATAATACAATTCTAATATAGTGTCATATTTTAGTATCTTAAGTCATGTTACAAATAAAGTTATCATTATTTATGATAGTAAAGAAACAGCATTATGAAAGTTATTTTCATATTAAGTTGAGTTGAAGTTATAAATGTAAATATTATTCACTAAAAATTTAGTGAAACGTTAACCACTTTAACAGGACACGCAAGGAATAATTACATTCTTTCTTGTTGATAGAGGGAGTACTACCTATCGCTAACCATTTTTTTACTAGATCCTGTGGTAGTACGTGCAGATGCTTGCCGGTTGGTCGACCACCGCAGTCCCGGAAAAAGAAATGCTATATTGTAACACCCCAGGCCCGAGGGGTGGGCCCTGTCTACATAGCAATTCGTTTATGTTTTCGTTTTCGCTTCACGTAAAACGGTTAACAAAAAGTTTCTACACGTTCTTGGTCTGGCTATTTAAGTTGGTTTGGCGAACTCAGAATTCACGGTATGTATAGTATTAGACTTCTGGTAGCACCGTATTTCCACAGCTACAACAACTCGATGCTACAGTACCCCTAATTCAGTCCAGCCCAATTCATCGCTACGGCTACAGTACCCCCGGCCCGACCGCAATTCGGCCATGAGCTGGGTCTGGCATGGATCCAGCGGTACAGTACAGTAGAGAGACGACAGGCAGTTGAATCGGTTGTTGCCCGCCTCGGCAGTCCCGCTAGTGGCCGCCTGCCTGAGCTTGGCAAGATGGACAGCGGTTTGTCGAGCACCCTTGGGGCGAGCAGCGACGAGAGCACGCGGACAAACTCGGCGATCAGCGGTCAACACACGCTTCTCCCTCCCCCATCACTCCATCAGGGCCTCGTTTAGATTCCAATTTTTTTCACTCTCTCTGCATCACATCAAATCTTTAACATATGCATGGAATATTAAATATAAATAAAAAATAGCTAATTACACAGCTTGATTATAAATTACGAGACGAATCTTTTGAGCCTAGTTAGACCAAGATTAAACAATAATTGTCAAATATAAACGAAAGTGCTACAGTATCAAATACTCATTCCTAACAGCTATCTAAACAAGGCACAGGTTTGGTCTAATCAGACAGAGATCACCCTGCTGCCTGCTGCTGCAGCGGACCCAGCAGCACATCGCCGAGCCGGATTGGGTGTGTGCGCGCGCGCGCGGAGTCGGCGCCATCCAGCGTTCCAGACGCTTCCGGCGTGGCGGCGTCCATCCACGGCCACCCGGCTGTGGCGCGGGGGCGGCACGTCGCGCGGGCTGACATGCGGGCCGCCGCCGCCGCCGATCCAAAGTCCGTCCATCCAACCAACCAAAGCGCCCACGATGGCCCACACCGCCTTCGTCCCGACACTGTGACTCACTGACTAGGCGTCCCCACTGCCCGGCTCCGGGCCCGGCGGACCTCGGTCGGGTCGGGTCGGGTCCAGCGAGCGGAGCCGACGCGGCCCCGCCCGCCCGCCGCTGACACGCGGGCCCCCATGTCCCGCCGCCTCGGGCCACGAGCCCGCCCGCTCTCGGCAGTCTGCATGCTGGTCGCGGGTCGCCCGGTCTCCGCGTGTCCACCGAGCGCCTGCTGCGTGGAGCTGAGCCCGGGCGGCGCGAGCCGTTCCGACACGTGGCGGCCGGGGACGGGCGAGACCGGGCTCCACCGGGCGCTCTGCGGGTGGCCGCCTGCCCGCGAGGCGGCGAGCGAGATATTTAATCCGGCCGGGGGCCTACTCCTTCCTACTCGCTTTCGCTTTGGCACCGCCCCGCCGCCGTCGAAGAACTCGAAGACGAAGTCGAACACTCTTCGTCTCTTCTCCCGCACCGCCACCGCACCTCTATTTGTTTCTCCCCGTGATCCATCCATGCGAGGCTCCGGCATCTAGCAGGTCGCTCCGTCCGGCTCCACCCACCACCCCCGCTCGCGCGCCATGTCTGACGATAGCGACGGGCAGCGGCAATGCCGCCGGGGCGTCACAGTCGACGTCGAGCTCGACGCCGCCATGGCGCTCGCCGACATGGCCGGGGTCGGACCGGCCGGCGAGCAGCAGCCGCCGGTGCGGCACGCGCCTGCTCCCCCTCCTCCTACTACTCATCGGGTGAATGATTTATTACAACCGCCGTTGCCGTCGCCGTCGCCGTCGCTGCGCTTTGCTTGCTCTAATCGGAGTAACAATTAATTCTCCATGATCGACCGACTAGGAGGACGAGGAGGAGCTGGCGAGCACGCGGCTGAGCCTGGAGCTGGGGAAGGTGGGCATCCAGGCGTCCCCGTGCTCCAGCAGCTCCAGCGCCGGCGGCCACCAGGCGCACCACCAGCCATACCAGCAGCAGCAGCAGCCCGCCACGGCGGCGGCACCGGCGACCGGCTACGGGCCACGGCCCCGGCACGCGCTCACCGAGGTAACCTACTCGTGCTCCGCGCTCGCGATTCCGTGACCCGTCTTCACCAGCGTGCGTGACGTGGCAGGCCGAGAAGGAGGCGAGGCGGCTGCGGCGCGTGCTGGCCAACCGGGAGTCCGCCCGCCAGACCATCCTCCGCCGCCAGGCCATCCGGGACGAGCTCGCCAGGAAGGTGGCCGACCTCTCGTCGCAGAACGAGAACATGAAGAAGGTAAGTACGTACTCATGCCGGCTGACATACTAGGCTCGCCGGCGTTAACTGACGTCTGCTATGACGTCGTCTTCGCCCTCTTTTGAGTTTATTACTGATGTGAGCTGACGACGACAACGATACACTTGTTGGTGCAGGAGAAGGACATGGTGATGCAGGAGTACCTGTCGCTCAAGGAGGCCAACAAGCAGCTCAAAGAACAGGCACGTCAACGCCCATCGCTTTCGTTCTTTCCCTTTCGTTAATTAAGTACGAGTGTTATCCAATAATGATGTTGCCATTGTTAGGCACACAGGAATCCAGGACGTTCCAAGCCTCCACTTGTTGCCCTCAAACGAGGACACACATGCATGACCATGAGCATGACCCTGCACTGCACTTTTCTGCCCACTTGTACTACTACTCATGCCGTACACCTAGCTCCCGCTGCTAGTCGTGTTCTTGTACGCATGCCACGCCGACAGAGACGTCCTTCTTCTTCTTTGGATAATGACGCCAAAGATTTCTTCTTTGGATAATGCCGGCCGGCTTGCTCGGTGCAAGTGCAATGCCGACGCTGGCTGCATGGGGGGATGGGATTGGGATTGCGAATTGGGATCAGTCTGAGGCACCGTTTAGGGCAAAATTTTTGGCGAAACGCTACTGTAGCACTTTCGTTGTTATTTGGTTATCAATATCTGATCATAGTTTAATTAGGCTTAAAAAATTGGTCTCGTGAATTTCGTCTAAACTATGTAATTAGTTTTATTTTTTATTTATATTTAATGATTCATGCATACGTCTAAAGATTCGATGTGATCGAAAATCTTGAAAAATTTGGCAGTTTGAAGTACAACTATACAGGGCCTGAACCTAGGCGCACGTTGCCCATTTCTGTCAGTCGGTTCGGTTCAGCAGCTGCTACTAAAATTCCGAGCTCCTGGTGGTGTCTCATTGTTCGGTCGCCCGTGCGTGACCACGTCGGCGGACTCCGTCGTCTTCTCCGCGGAGTTACTACTGGTCTTGGCGTCACACTGCGACGGACGTGTGCTCATTGAATTCTCTGCGCGCAGGTGGCGATGAGGACGGCCAAGAAGGCGGCAGCCGCGGTGACCGCGGCGATGCCGGCGCAGCAGCAGGCGGAATCCCTGGCGGCGGCGTCCACGGCGTCCCCGCCGCCGCGGCCGGGGTTCCTGTACACCGCGGCGGCGCCGGTGCCGTACGTCTGGGGCTCCTGGCCGCCGGGAGCAGCCGCCGCCGGGTACGAGCACCACCACCACGGCGGCAGCTCGCCGGGCCCGCCGCCGCTGTGTCTGCAGCCCTGCGCGTGGTACTACCCGGTCGTGGCGGCGGACCCGCGCGGGTCGCCGTCCGCGTCCGCCCCCGCGTACGCGCAGCAGCAGACGCAGCCGCCGGCGGTGTTCGAGGACCCGCGCGGCGCCGTTGCAGCGGCCGAGCCCGCGGGCAGCGGGGGCAGCCCCGCCGGTGGCGGCGCGACGGCCGAGGAGGACACGGACGACGACCCCTGCTCGCTCACGCTCGGGCTCGACGTCGTCGACAAGCGGAGCGCGCCCGCCAGCATCTTCCCCGCGGGGCCCGGCGGCGGCGGCGGGGGACTGGGAGCGCAGAGCGACAGGGACAAGGCGGCCACGGCGGCGGAGGCCAGGAAGCGGAGGAAGGAGCTCACCAAGCTCAAGCACATGCACGCCGCCGCCCGCCCCGGTGGCGAGCAGTGGTAGGCAGGCGGCCAGCAGAGCATGCACGGCATTGGTGAGGTGGTGATGGTGGTGGTGACTCCATTGGTTTTTCTTCTCGGTGGCGAACTACTAAATAGCTTGGTGATCTCTTCTTTGAGTCCATTTGGTTTATTTGCTCTATCTACTAGCTAGTAGAGGCAGGAAGAAGGCTTTGCATGCAAATGCATTTTGATCAGGTTTAAGGTTCTGGTTCTGAAGCGCCCCAACCCGAAGGATTTCAGATTTCGAGGAAATGTTTTCTGTTTTTTTTTTCTTAGTACGTATTCTTTGCTGCAAGGAGTATATGTAAATGAAGAAATTAAACGAGTGCTAGCTAGCAGTATTTCTTTCTCGATGATGTAGCATCGATCGGAGTCGGAGGTCATGTATAATGTAACAATTCTTTCTTTAGGATTTTTATTTTTATACTACCAGCAAGTAAGATTAAGACAGTATTAATATAATGTCTCTTCCAAGAGTAATACATGAGCCTCTAATATATATATATATTTCATTTTCTAGTACAAGAAGAACAGGTTTCAGTTGATCTTTCAACCTGACTTAGGATTTACGAAGAAATGATGTGATTAGTCAGTGTAACCTTGGCGACGTGTTCTCTGAATGGTCAGCCTATATTTGGCTGCAGACCTGCAGTCTTGCCATGCAGCTTGTCTGAGCTAGGCATCGTTATTAAGTGTCCGATGATCTCTATTGTACGGCTGAACAGGCTCAACTAAGCAACTGCCGTTGTTGATGCCTATTTTTTTATTCATAACCTGGCTCTATGGCCCTGTTATTTAAAACATAAGCTCGACACCAACGCGAGCAATCAAAGTCTTTACAAATTTTGGTGTGCAATGTGCTAAGTTATGATCCATTGTCTAGGGAGGATTTTACTGCATACAAAATGCTCACAGAGCAAAGAACGAGTGTCACTGAGCGAGGATGATTAGAGAGCTTGTTGAAGAGCTATTGAGTCCACGTCCACTTGCACGTGCGATATACCATAATCTGCAGCCGCTTGCAATGCCTGAGCACATGCTGCTGCCTCAGCTGTCATCGCGTCCGGGATTGATCCTAGGTGACCAGCTCCTGCAAGCACCCCGTCGCCCTCATGGTCACGGACAATGAAGCCCCAGCTCCCTTGCATCGTCTCCTGGATAAATGATCCATCCGAATTGATCTTGAGCTGTCCAGGTGGTGGAGCTTTCCAACCAGCACTCCCTGTCACCTCCTGGGCCGGCTTCTTCATCTTCGACTTCCTCAGATCGCACATCAGGTCTAGCACATCCGCAGCAACTTCGTCCCCAGTCTGGCGCTTCTCTCCTTTGTTAATTTTATTTCTCTCCTAAGTAGCACAGTTTTGCAGCTTGTTCGTTTATTCGTTTCAATCAGGGCTTATCAGCCATGGTACAGTATTTTTCTCTCACAACAAACTAGCACTAACCGGGCTTATCAGCCCAGAAATCAATCAGCGAACAGGCTTTTGATTCAGACTTCTTCCTTCAGAGCCAATATTTGAGTCACCACCTCCCATGCCGATTGCTTGAGTAGTAGCTGTTGCCTAGTCTCGGGTTTAAAACTTCGTCAGTCTTTTGCGAATTCTAGTAATCTACAGGTGATCAAAAGAAAACTTCAACATTTCATATTACACTAATATATATGTTGCATGTTCTTCTGCTCAATTGATTGTGTAGTTATAAATGATGCTAATATTTTGTTTAGATCTAGAAAATCATACGACATGTTTAGTCTCCAAAAATTTCGGTAGCTTCATCTAAATTTCGGTAGTCAAAGAAAAATTCATATTAAAATTGACAACTCTAGTCTAACTCGCCCGTGTCGTCGTGTTTAGCCTTTAGCTGTTAGCTTTATTGTTGTTTTGGTGGCTATGGTTGGTCAATCTTCTTATAAGACCCTGCTGCTTTATTGTACTAGTCTATCTGAATTCATCTTTTTCTTATACAATGAGCTCAGTTTGTTTTAGAAAAAAAAAAAACTAACTACCCAACTGCAACCCCGTCTTGTACTTCACATGTGAATTGTGATTAATCAACCTCTTCACTAATCATTAACCAGTTGTGTCTCCTCCGTCACATATACGACACATACAGAGTGTCATTTCTTACTTTCGGAGGAGTCAGACATTTTTAGCCTTAACAAAAATATATAGAGAATTGTCGGTGTTTCGAACAACACCGGCTAGTAAATTTATACTTGATGCGCGTTAGGTCCGGATGGTGCACTAATAGACACAAAGTTTATACTGATTCGGGCTGAATGTCCCTACGCCCAGTCTGTTGTTGCTCATGTTATTATCACCGAATGAGGTTCGTAGTAGGGGTACAAACGGTTAGGAGAGGGAGAGATCCCAAGTCCCTGATGGAGTAGTGGAAAGAACACCAAGAGCTCTGTTGCTACTCGGTTGTATGGTGCGTGTGCGTGTGCTAGCTCGTCCAGAGTCGATCCCCTTAATGGGGAGCCCCGCCCTCCCTTTTATAGACAGATGGGGGAAAGAAAAAAATACTAAGAGCGTAGAAGATCCTTCGAGAGACCCAAGTCTTCCTTCTTTCCCACGCCTGCCCTGCCTATCCTGGCAGACTGTGTCAGAAGTAGCGTATCCGTCGATCTTCGTAGGCCATGCCCTGGCCTTTTTTAGCAAGTGGGGCGTCCCATCCCGCCCCCGCGGGCGACGGGTCGGATAGGATTGTCGAGCCCCGACCCCGTGGGGGTCGGACGGCGTGGTGACTGTTGGTTGGCCCTTGGGACGTCGTGGTTGTCGTATGTCCGTGTCGGGTCCTTCGTCCGGAGGCTGAGGGCGGCGCCTATAATACTGTAGGGCGGAGAGCAGGCGCCCGCAACACTGTTCCGGCTCTGCCACGCCTGGGGGGAGGTCCCAGCGCTTGTCCTGTCACATCCTGACGGTACTTCCTTGCAGGGGTGCAGGACATGGCGTCTAACGCTGTGGTTGACCCGAACGTCTTGTCTTACCTCAGAGCCATCATCATGAGGGTTCGCGAGGCACGGTTTGTCGGTGAGAGGCGAGCCACCTCCGAATATCGGGTGAGGCGAGATCCGTCATCGGTCGTTGGATGAGGTAAATCCGCCCTCGGGCGTTAGGCGAGCCGAGCCCAGCCCTCGGGGGGCGGGCGGCGGAGTGTATCCCTTGGGGTCGGGTGAGTCGTCCTCCACCGTCCGGGCGGCGGCGGAGTCGCCCTCCACCGTCGGGCAAGGTGGAGCGGGTCCACGGGCGTTCGGGCGAGGCGGAACAAAACTCCCATCGTTCGGGCAAGAAGTGCAGCCGTGCTCTTGTCCGTTCAGGAGCTTTTAACGTTCGATGGTTATTAGTTCCACCTCCTTGGGTACCCCAGTATTAGGTCCCCGACAAGAATATTAATTTATGATGTATATTTAGTATTATTAGATAAATCGTTAAATATATTTTTATAATAAATTTATTTAAAAATATAATTTTTGCTAATATTTTTACAAAGTTAATTAAATTTAAGAGAGTTTGATCCGCATAATTTTGGGTGGAGGTAGTAACTGGGTGAGGGTATCTGAGAGGTAAAAACTTAAAGTGCCCTCTTTATTGCGCCTCTAAACAAGAACTGTCACAGCTTGCTCAGGCAGATCAATTGAGGGGTTGGGTGGGCCTTAGTACAGAAGCAGTACTGACATGAACGTGGGTTCCAGTTTGTATCAGGCGTAGCCGAGCCACCGGCCCGCAGGAGTTAGCTTGAACGGCCCATCACACTGTAATAAGAGCCCAAAATCGCGTACTCCCCAAAGTCCACATTACCTCCCTTAATTTTAGAAAAAATCTGCTTTTCCTCCATGAACTCTGAAACCGGATAAATCACCTCCCCTGAACTCTTAAAATCATTCGTTTTACCTCCCTGACTGGTTATAAGCTATTTTCAATGACGGTTTTTTTTTGCTGAATCTTTAAAAAATCATAGTAAATCACAGAAAAATTATAAAATAGAAAATCTAATTTTGTTGGGCTACACATGAGTAGGTCTACACACTGAACATATAATATGGTATGCTTTAGTATAATTTTTTTGTTTTAGCTTTAGATCTATACTTTTCTGTAATTAATTCATAGTTGCAGTTTCTGTGGTCTAATTGTGGTGAAATTTTTATGGTGGGCTAATTATTGTACGTGTGAACTGTAGTAAAAATTTCATACTCATTGGACCACTTATAACTTAGTTATAGATTTATAAATACCTGTTAACAAGCATACACCTAAATAAATCTATAACTAAGCTATACATGATCCATGAGTATGAAAATTTTACTATAGTTCAATCATACAATAATTAACCCACCATCAAAATTTCACCACAATTGGATCATAGAAACTGCAGCTATAAATTAATTATAGAAAAACATAGATCTAAAGGTACAAAAAAAAATTTGTACTAAAGCATACCATATTATATATTTACTGTGTAGATCTACTTACGTGAAGTCCAACAAAATTGAATTTTCCATTTTATGATTTTTCTGTGATTTACTATGATTTTTCAAAGATTCAACCAAAATAAATAAAAATGAAAAGGACAAAACCACCTTTGAAAATCGCTTATAACCGGTCAAGGAGGTAAAACAAACGGTTTTAAAAATTCAAGGAGGTGGTCTACCCGGTTTTAGAGTTCATAGAGGAAAAACAGACTTTCGCAAAAGTTGAAGGAGGTAATGTGGACTTTTTCCTATTCCTAATAACTTATGAATTCTTCCTCTCAAATAAAACATATGGAATTTTCTTTTCTTTGAGCGTCGGTTGGTTGAGCATCTTAGTTTTATTAATTTTTAATTTTAATATTACACCTAAATTAAAAGTGACAGATAAAATAAAATAATATTCTAAATTCATATCTAAATTACCTCTGGGAATATTACATCTAAATTACCTCCCTCTGGCATTATGATAGATAATCAACACGAGCTGCTAATTTTAGGTCGCTTATACCATTATTAACAATAACCTATTGTACAACTTAAATCTACATTTAAATTATCAATATTTGCTATTTTCTAATAATGTCTATACAGGTTTCTAAATTACTAGTTCTATTACTATAAATGTACAAAAAACCTAAAGTAAATATACATGTTGTTCCATAATGCAGATCAAGTATACACACATGCATGGCCAATAAATATGTAGGAGATTTATGTTTTGCTAATAGTGAATAATGTTCCATTCACAACTCTTGTACCAGCAATCCATTTAAAATTACATTAATATCCATCCAAATTGTATTTGACTGAAACAATATGCATATCTATATATTGGTATAATCACTTTTTTTCAAATAAAAAAAAAACTACTACACATATACGAGCTGTTTGGTTCCTTCTATAGTAACGCAAACGTAAACAACATCGGTCACCAGCTAGTTCAAATCTATTTCCGCTGGTAACATCCCGCAGCTCAATTTCATTTACGTTTGCGTTTTCATTGGTACAACCAAACAGCTCGATAGTTCTTTATTGAGTAAACTCACCTCTTGAGATGTGAAGAAAGTGAATACCAAAAGTGGCTATGACCCTTGGTTTTCGGAAGTTGTTTAGAATAAACATGGATTGCTAAGCTTAAATATTAATCATCTATTCAGATCGACTAGCACCGTTTGCCCCTCCTAGATCTTACTTCAAGCTCCATTTCTGATCTTAAGTGGCACAAGGCAGGATTAAACTACTATTTATGCCATCATAGTAATTAGTAACTAGAAATGCAGTTTAGGACATGAATCTTTTTTAATAAAATACAAAGGAGAGATGAGGGGTTTGAATAAAAGGTAATAAGGACAAGACATTAACATGCGGATGTAAAAGCTGTAGCAACTAATTCAATGAAAATTTGGAAGTCAAAATCTAGATTTATGATACCACGAGACATATGTTGCAATATGAGCCTCTATAACTTAAACTAATTAACATTTATCAAAGATACTTTTTCCGAAAGGACGGCAAGAGAATTACGTGATTTTAATTAGACGAGAAAAAAAACTATATGTATGTTGATCGAAAAATATATAGAGTAATAACTAATAAGTTTTTATAACCGAATAGAGATTACAATATGGGCATTGCGTTCAAAATGAAAAAAAGAGCGCACAAAAAAAGTAATCTTGATTACTTGTAACTTGTAAGTACAAACTTTCTAATAATTATGTATCCTATTATTGTAGCTCCTGCTGCTTCTAACCTATGCCGAAAACAGGCTAACTACTGTGTGCTTTCTTGTCTAGACTAGACTAATCAACGCATAGTAAAATAGCACCAGCACAGACCTGCTAGCTAGTGAACTTCTACCTCATTTTCCTTGCAGCTTATCACGTACCTGCTCTACTACATACCTTGTCAGCTACGCCACTAATCTGGTAAGCACTAATCATCTTACATTCTCAGGAATAATTGACTGTAATAAGCACACGGCAGGAGATGCGACTGCCGTCAATTATGGGGCCAAATGACACGGGTCAAGTCATCGAAGCCGCTGAAGGCGAGATCATCCACGGGAGGGATGAGCGAGTCCCAGTCGATGGCCGTGGCGGCGTCTTCCCCTCCGTCCACGACCCCGCCGCCGCCTCGCGACCCCGACGACGAGCTGTCGTGAGAGTTCTCCGCCGCCGCATGTCGTCGTCCGTTGTTGTCGGCCGCGGCGTCGTTGACAACGACCGCAGCAAGCATATGCTGATGGTGGTGGCTCGTCGTCTTCGCCACCGCAACCGCCGCCGCTGGTGGTTGTAGTGGCTGTTGTAGCTGTTGCTGTTGGTAGCCGCAGTGGATGGCTTGTTGAGCGGCGACGGCAAGGCCGCCCGGCGGGTTGAGCGGCCGGCGGTCGAAGGACCTCAGCGTGCCGGTGCTAATGTAGACCCGACAGACGCTGAACTCGTTCCGCAGCTGCATGCAGACATGGCAGATTCTACTGAATACTAGCAGTTGCATCATTAATTCTTGCTGTACGACATCATTAAATGCAAAACATACATATAGTCCAAGTAACTACAGTGTGGTAGTACTAGATCGCATGCACGAGGACGGAACGGAAGCACGGACGGACCACGGACGTACCATGATGGGCGCCCCTGCAGGTGCAGGTGCATCGTCGGCGTCGGCGGCGGCGACGGCCTTGTATTCGTTCATCTTCCAGCGGGTCTTGTTGCCGGTGGGCGCGCGGCCCTGGTAGAAGACCATGGTGCGCTTCTCCCCGATGACGCGGATGGCCGTGGGCGAGGAGGAGGAGGAGTAGACGTAGGACGGCGACCCCGTGGCCTTCCAGTATCCCGACGGTGTGTTGCGCGCGGGCCGGCCGCCGTGGAGCTCCCGCTCCGCGCGCTGGCAGAAGAAGAACCACTGCTCCGTGTCGGACACGTTCGCCGCGCCGGCCATCGCCCGGAGCTCCGACGGGTGGTAGCCATAGATGTCGACGACGGGGATCAGGTGCTCCACGGCGGGCATGGTGCCGGCGAGCCGGTGCCGGAGGTAGAAGGTCAGCAGCTCCTCCTCCGTCGGGTAGAACCGGAACCCCGGCGCCATCAATGGATCACTGCTGCCACCCCTACCACCACTTTCCATTATCGTCGCTCCTGTCGTGGTTCGTTCGCACGCTGAAGATCGATCGATGGATTGCTGCTAACTAAATAGTTCCTGATGAGGAGACGGAGCGAGCACGGCTGGGAGAGAGCAGCATTTATAGAGCGGCCGGTCGAGCCAGCAGTTCGGTACCTGTTGCTTGCTTAGGTAGCTCTCCCTCACGTACAAGTACGATTCAGAGAGAAGATTGATGAAGAAGCCATGGCCGTGTTTCCGCGTTGACCTGGACCTGGACTGAGAACGACGACTCTACTCCAATTTACTTCTCGCCGGCCGGCCGGCATTCTTGGGTCTCTAGTGTACTAGCACTACGTACCAGGGGCGAATCCAGCCATGAAATTCACCGGTATCATCACATTTATATAGTAGGGTCATCATCGTTGATGGAGTGTAATAAACAGTAATTCTCCACTAATTTTACCGAAGTCATCGGCCCTGGTAACATAGGCTAGATTCGCCCCTGCTATGTACGTAGCCAGATGGACATATACAATACGTATCAGACAGTCTTGCGTTCAAAGGTTAGGATCCGGGGTACGTATTCTCGACGTATATGGCGTACGGTCTACGATGAGTATTATTTATTATTATATGTTTCCTATATACACCAGTTAACTACTACTGTATAAAATTGTTTCTGTTTTACGGTCCATTGGTGGCCACGATAGTGTACGCGGAAAAAAAAAAGACCGGCCGTTACGGTAATATAGTGGTGGCATCTGGCATCATCGGACAAGGGACAGTCCATAATGCCCGGCCGGCTTTTAGGTCTTCTTGATAGCGGTTTAAAAAAAACTCTTCAAACGTGCACCCACAAAAACAGCTTATAAAATTAAAGTTGAGCTAAAAAATGGTGGAGTCGAAATTGTTTTCGTCTACACATTAACTGAAGACACGAAAACATAGTTTTTCTTGGTGTAAGGTCCTGTTTGCCGGAGCTCCAAGTGCTCAAGATACAACAAAACAGCTCCAGACACGATTTTTTTACCCTAACACATCTCATCAGTGAAATCCAGATCTGGGGGCACATCCATGGGTTTCATGGAGCACCTCAAGGGGTGTTTTGAAAACTCATGGATTCCTAAAGTTGACTAAAATTACCCACCATGCCACTGATTACACAAAGAAAATGTTTCCTTTCTTTTTTTTTTCTCTCTTCGTCTTCTTCTCCATCGTGACTCTCGCTCAGCCTCTCGCGCTAGCCATCGCGCGCCGCCCCCCGCCCGCCAGCCACCGCGTAGGCCCCCGACAGCCAATGCATCACAGACTTACAATCCTTTACCACCAAAATAGAGTGTTACGTTGAAGAACCCAAACTTTGCCACAGAATAGAACAAAAAAGAACCAACAAACAAACTCTCATTAATCCTTCGCTGACGCCAGATCGAACCGCGCCGAGGTAGAAAGAGATACAAGAGGCAATAGAATATAATGGGCCATTATGTTTGATGATGATAACTTAGTTACATGTGATATTCGCAACACGCAATACCTCCATGCACAACCCAAGCACCATTTGATTAGAGACAATATTTACCGCCAGCACACTACTAGAAAAAGATTTCGCGAGACAGTGCCCAAGCATTAACGGAGGAGGGCACATTAGGCTTCCGTCGCCGTTAATGGTCGGCTTCCCCCGCTGTGAAGCGTCGCCTCCGCTAAAGTTTAACGGAGGCGGATTATGGCGACTGTCTCTGTAAATCAATAACGAACATAGACGGGTGTCGTTAGGCAACCGCCTCCGATAATGGACCATTAACAGAGGCGGACGTCTTCCGTAGGGGATTCAATCTCCCTCAATCCCTCCTAACACCCTTGGTTTGGGGGCAAAACGAACAAAGCCGAGAAATGGGTAGATGAATCCCACATCAAAAAGCTGGAGCGTGTTGTGAATGCCAAATTTGATTTTAGATTAAAATCTAATTTGAGCATGTGCTTTGGTAAGGAATTTTGGATTTTACTTGAGCACATATGTTGGGAAATTATATGACAAAATACTAAATTTCAGACCAAGAATTTGGATGATTTGTTTCAGAATTTTTAAAACCATTTTAGGCCAAAATAGTTTAACTGAAAACTCAAATATAGCATTCCAAAATGAATTTTAGTTTCAAACTACAAAATCTATGACACAAGATCTAAGCAAAATGAGGACGTACTTGATTTTTAGCATCTAATTGAGAAAATATAGGATTTTTCGATGTTCCTAGGTCCTTCATGCTGGCTAAAAAAATAGCTTCACCGAAAGCTCAAATTAATATAGCATTTCAGAAATAATTTTAGTTTCAAAACTATAAAATCTATGATACCAAGTCGAAACAAAATGGGCCGTCCTTGATTTTAGTATCAATGTAAAAAATTTCAAGATTTTTGGAGGTCCCATAATCCTTCGTTTTGAATCAACAAGAAAAAAAATGTCACACCATCGAAAATAGTCTGACTCACCATAGTATGTAGTTCAAGACGAAGTGTTCGTGGTGACACCAACAACATATGTGGAAAGTATTTGTGACGATGCAACGTGTCTATTTAGTCACACTAATACATATGGCATATCCGTATTCATTTTTCATTGTCATGCCTCTAGGCTTGATGAAAAAAGCTAGTTTATGAAAATTTAGTTCAGCAAGCGCTATTGTTGAAATATTAGTTTTTGTTTGAAAAGATCTAGTTATTGTTGACGATGATATCAAACTCTACCAAATAAAAAGGCATATGCTTTTTTACTATTGTGAGGATTTTTTGAGGTTTATCTTTTTTTTCTCGTGAGAGTTAACGTGGAGTTTCTTTTATCTTCAACTAATAATACTATAGTATGGCTTTCATTATGCCAAAAACTAATTTGTCCATGCTCAGCGATTGATTAAAGTAGGACCATTTGACGAAATGAGTGTAGCTTAATTAATTATTGGTTAGATTACTTATGGTGGAATATGGTCTATCTATTTTAACTTCTTGATTTAAAGTGAATGCTGCTAATTTTTTGAATTTGTTTTAGGATTTATTTGTATTGTGATTTCAGTAGGAGACAATGACGTGTGTGTCAATGTCAATAACAAGACACTATGGTGACTTTATTTGAGATCTATGTATCCGGCTGCTTAGTCTTGGATGTACTTGGGACGAGTTTAATTATGTGATGGTGGTCGAGAAAAAGGTAGGGACGTTTTGCTTATTTGGTTCTGCATGCATGCCAAACTATGGAAAAGGCCAATAAATAAACCCAGACGTGTGGGCCTGCCGGGGTTGACTAGGAGTCAAGGCAACCCAGACGCGGTCTCGTCTCGCGAATACGACGCGCATGGGACGCGGTCCATATGATATATGAACCGAGTGGATCAATCAATATCCGTGCTCTGCAAAGTACAGCAGTAGTACGTACTCACGGTGTGTCATATTTTAGTATGTAAAGTTTGATAAATTATAAATAAAACAATATAAAATAGCTATGACATGAAATAAGTATTATTACATTTGCCATGATATATACTTTCACAATATATTTATTGTCCATTTAAAAAACATCAATATTTCTATCTATACATTTGGTCGGATACTTTAATCGAGAATACACTCAGAGTTGCATTCATTTCAAGACAGAAGGGGTACGGAGACTAGGACAAGCAATTTATTTACTCCTAGCCAGGTATTCCCTTCGTCGAAAAAATGCAATTCTAGCATAGTATTAAATTAAAGTACCTTAAGTTTGACTAATTAAATCTAAAAAATATAAATAGTTATCAAATAAGTATCATTGAATTTATAATGAGATATATTTTTATGATATATACTTATTTGTTGTCAAAAATATTAGTATCACTAGTACAGAACCGAGCTTTACTCCCGGTGGGGAACCCCCTCTAGTCCCGGTTCCCCACCCGGGAGCAAGCATCCGGGACTAAAGGGGGGGTCCTTTAGTCCCGGGTCAGGAACCGGGACTAAAGGAGGACCTTTAGTCCCGGTGGGTAACACCAACCGGGACTAAAGGTGCCTCCTGACATGCCACGATGGCCGGCACCTTTAGTCCCGGTTGGTAATACGAACCGGGACTAAAGGTTTTTTTTTTTTTTCTTTTCTTTTCATTTTTTGTTTTTCTTTTCAAAATAGGTTTTCAAGTCGTATTATACGCTAATTATACATTTATACGCTGCATATAGTATGTTTCGGTCAAGCACAATGAACGTATTAAATCACACAATTCAATCATAGAAATATATATATATATATATATATATATATATATATATATATATATATATATATATGCATGCATGCATCATATATATATTTACATGCATGCATGCATATATGTGTATTTTACATTATATTATTTCATGTGCATATATTACAAAAGATTGCATTATAGTTGTTGTGACATAACAAGTTTCTTCTCATCCTCTAGCTTGGCTTCAATGGCGGTGTTGGGTCGAAGTAGAACTCGCCCTTGGAATCGATGACTGCTCATTAAAAAATCCGCTATAGACTCTTGAATTGCTTTGATTTGGTCTTGCCAGTATGACCTTTTCCTCCAACCATCGAGTCTGAGTTTGAATTAAAGGAAAATAAATTAATATATGTACATATATATATATATAAAAGACATAGTAACACAATCAATAATAATAATTAAATGAATATATAGTGTATTTTAACGTATTTTGAGTCTCTCTCAGAGGAGTTCTTTGGGAGAGCACCTTGATAAACTTGCAAACATAGTAACCACAGTAGTTGTTCCCCTGTTCCTGCCTTAGACACCACTTTACGAGAAAAAGATTTGTCATCCAATCTGGTGATCCGGTGAAAGCTATATGTTGAATTAATAAAGATGATGCGATTCAGGGGACTTACTTTCAAAGGGATTACATTCAAGTGGCGCTTTGCATTTTTCCATGTGTTGCTTCTCAATAAAGGTTTTCCAAACACCGCCTAATAAAAAAATTTGCCACGCCATCGATATATAGTTAATCATCATGTTTGTGTGT